TCAGAGTTGGTAGCTCATCGCTCATTAATTTAATAAGGAAGCTCTTTCTCTGTAAGTCTTTGAAAGATGTGTCCCATATATGTCTATTCATTCTTTCCCATACTAGATCCCAAGTGTATTATTGTTGTTTTTTGATCTGATAATTCCATTTCTTTTCAGTTCTATTCTATACTATTTATTGATATACCATGGTTTTGCTTTTTATCTTTCGTAGCCCAAATGGTACGCGTTAACTTCGTACACGAAAAATAAAAAAGATGCGGATGTGTCAGGAGAGATCCTGATCAAAATTGGGCTTGTCGACCACGAAAACAAATTGGATCACAGAGAATGGGAAATCATATGGAAACAAATGAATCATCTTACTCTCGAGGAACCTGCTGTGGGCGCAGCTTCCACCGGAGACGTGGCGGTAGCGAAAAAACTTCATGGCGAAATTCTCGGAATAGTTTTTCTTGAAGTTGTGTGTGCAAGCGACCTTCCGGCGGCGAGAAATGGTAGGCCGTCTGATTTTTCTTAGTTCTATTGTAATAAAGTAGACACCCAATCATGTCATTTTCCTTAGAGAAAACTTTTTTATGTGATAGTGACCAAGTTGGGGTTTGATATGGATCCATTCGTGGTGGCTTCATTCTCCAGGAACACATTCCGTACGAAAGTCATTAGTCACAAACTAAACCCCGTATGGAACGAGAAATTTAATTTTCCTGTAAAAAAAAACGAAACAAAGTATTCCATTAAATTTGTCGTTTATGATTGGGATAAATTCAGCGGAAATGACCTGGTTGCTTCTCAATCTCTTCCGATTAAACAACTGTTGGAGAAAACTGAAGCACATGAGGGATTTGTGGAGGAGGAGCTTCCTCTTGTTTTACACATTCAGGGAAAGTCGGGTGAAGAATATAACCCAAAGCTTACCATAAAGTCGAAGTTCTTACCTTACGAGAAATTAAGATTCCAATTTTGGAAGTCATTGGCAAAGTTCTATGATTCCGATGACAACGGAAAGTTGGATTATATTGAGGTTGAGACGATGTTGAGCAGCTTAGGTTCTTCTTTGACTAGCGAAACGTTGTCCTCGTTCTTTACCCGTTTTGGAAAAGCACCGCACAAAGATGGGTTGGAATTTGAGGAGTTGATCTCGTGTTTGGAGGAGAGGTTAAAGATTTCTCAAAAGAGTGCCACCGAAGATGGTGAAGAGGCTGACAACGAGCATATTATCTATATTAAGGAATGTCCAATCTGTCATAAGCCGGGTCTTTCCGAATACACCGAGACCGATATCATTACTCACGTTGCGATCTGTGCTAGTGATGATTTGGGAAAGGTTGATTCGTTTGTGACAGGAGACTTTGTGACCGAATCCCAGGCGCAAAGGAAGTGGGTGACGAAGATCATCACAAAAATAGGATTTGGTGGTTATCAGATTGGGGGAGTAAGTATAGAGGCGATGCCGATTCTGCAACACATTTTTTTTCCTGGTAAAATTTTCGATGAGGTTAATCGAGAGATCTTATTAGGACAGCGCGAATATTATCGTGCAAGATCGCAAGACTGGACAATTGGTGGAGGAGAAGATGGCGGCCTACGTCCGTCTGGGAATTCGTCTCTTGTACAGAGCCAAAGGCTCTCACATTGATTCCAAAAGAGGTACACGCTTGTGAAAATTAACTGAAGACTGTTACACCCCAAAGCACGACCAACTCATCAATAAAACTTCACCAATTCCTATATTCAGTCCAGAATCTCCTGCGTTCCCTTTCCATCAAGCAAGGCAAAAAATTCGATAAGTCCTCGTCCGCAAAAGACATAGTCCCTTTCATTAAATTTCACGATTTAGACACAAAAGAGATTCTCGATCCGCTGGAATCCTTCAAGACCTTTAACGAATTCTTTTATCGCAAATTGAAGCCGGGAGCGAGGCCGTGTGACTCACCTGACGATCCACACGTTTTGGTTAGCCCAGCGGATTGTAGAATGATGGCCTTTTCAACTTTTGATAATGCGACGAAACTTTGGATAAAAGGACAAAATTTCACCATTGATAAGCTGCTTAATGATGCATCTGCTGCAAAGGAGTTTGAAGGTGGTTCTTTGGGTATTTTTAGGTTGGCACCACAGGACTATCACAGGTAGCACCTCGCTATTCCATCCTCTCCATTATACTTTGGGTATTCACTCATCAAAATAATAATAAATAACCTCAAACAAGATTTCACTTTCCGGTGGAAGGTGACTTAAGTAGATCTTTTCCAGTCCCGGGGGAGTATTATACCGTGAATCCAATGGCCATTCGTTCCGAGTAAGTTTGTGTCATCTTATTTCTCACTCTCATCAACGGACCGTTTTCACGGATTCCAATTCATTCTATTTTTTCTTTAGGCTCGACGTATACGGTGAAAACAAGCGAATTGTTTCTTACATCCAATCTCTTCAGTTTGGCAAAGTTGCATATGTAGCAATTGGCGCCATGATGGTTGGCTCGATTGTGCTGACGAGGTATCTGATTCTGATCATGCATTCTATTTTATTTAATGGTGCTTTCCCTGGAATATGGTGATACGTACACGTCACGTTCATTCTTTTCCATCAGTGTTCCGTCCACGCATGTGAAAAGAACCGACGAACACGGTTATTTCGCCTTTGGTTGGTATAATTAGGAATTGAATGTTATCTGTGCGGTGCAAAATTCTGGCGCGCTATTCAACATTCAAATTTTCTATAGGTGGCAGCACGGTCGTCCTTCTTTTCCAGAGGGGAAGGATGTTGTGGGACGAAGATATCTTGGAAAATTCTGGAACATGCATGGAAACCTTGGTGCGCAATTTGAACATTCGGCTATAAATATTTTGCATGGGGAGCGATCAATTGATGAACGAATTTTTTGTAGGTTCGTGTTGGCATGCAAGTTGGAAAATCCACTTATCACCATGGATGATTATTATTTAGGGTGAATGGTACAAGCATCCATTGTTTAGCATAGATTGGGAGGACGTAATAAATTATAACCCAATTCAAACCATGTAACTTTCTAACGCACTTGAGCATACATGCAATATATACTACAATTTTTTGATGTTTATTTTTTTTTTCTAACAGCCTCTGAAATGATGCTTGATTATATGTCTTGATTATCGAAAAAAAAAAACCTCCCGCTGTTCCAGACACAAGCTGCATCCATCTCATGTGAATCGTGAGTGGTCAATGGTTTCTATCTTTATTATATTAAAAAAAAAAAAAAAAGAAAAAGAAAAAAAGAACACGATAGGATAGGATAGATAAAAAAAAAAGAAAAGAAAAGAAAAAAGGAAGGATGAAAGATATTTACAAATTTTTAAGCCCAAGGAATGAATGTGTCATTTGAATTTCGAATCCATCCTTAACGTTGCGAAACAAACCATAGATAAAAAGACAGATGCATTGATTATTGTCCATATACTACAATGATGAGAAGAAATCGGGAATGAGGGAGCGAAAGAAGGAAGAAGAGTTTTCCACGGTGATTTCAGTTTTGCAGCCAAAACACTAGAGTGTCGCCAACGAACTAAAATTTAGGATTTAATGTAGTTTTTTGTTGACAAAAAAAAAAAAGAAAAAGAAAAAAAGAGGAGTATGAATATTATACAAACGAATATACAAATAAACAAAAAATCGAGATAAAAGTCGAAGGTAGAATGAAAAGGAAAGATGAGTGGGTGGTGTGTTAAGAACAATCCCGTGTTGAATGTCCTATGTACAAGTTCTTAAGTTTATATGATCGCGAAATTAATATATGGAGTCGTTTCATCAATAATCACGTCCTTAGTAAGGATTATATCTTACAGATTTATGTGGTGAACTCGGTGGACGCGCGTACCCATGCTGCTTTAAGAATAGCCCGCACTTATTACCTTCAAGAAGATAAAATGATTGGATATTGGAATGGCATGAAAAAAAAAAGTCAAAAGTTGCGTTGCAATCTCAGAAGCAAGTCTACTAACAAAGTTTTTGTCCCTCCGGCCCTCTCCAACAAGGTGTATTGCGGGTACCGCAGTTGTGACATGCGAATTCTGGTTCGGGTCGTTGGGTCCGCATGAGGCGAATGGTTCCATCGGGTGCAATTTCGGTCGGACGATAGACACCCTTGTTTTTTAAACTTTACAATATCGTCAAGGATTGACCTTTAAACATGAACGGTGACGGTAGCGAAACCAAAAAATGAACAACTTACTAGAGGCCACACGCATTGCAAAGTAAGGCGACGCCCTGCAGGTCACGCCTCCACGCGGGCGTGTCACGCACGCCGCAGTTCGAGCATTGCGCAATTTCTTGGCGATTCCCATCGGTGGACGATGGTGATGGCAAGGGTATTACGTGCGAATAATCCGATTCTGATTTGCGTCCTCGTTTCTTTTTTCCCTTGTTCGTCAACGTATGATCATTCAGGGTCATGTAGTCACTCATTGCATCCGCAACTAGGGAACGACCATTGCCAGTTATTTGTTGGGCGAATTGTTCATAAGAATTCGTACTCGGAATTGTATTATAATAATTGGAGGATAATCCACGTGATATTTGTGTCTGGACATCGTTCCAGTAGTTTGAGACTGAGTTGTTGTTTACTGGGACAGAGTTGTTGGCATACGTGGATTGTGCATAACTCGATGAACCTTGAACCGGCACGTTTTGCTCGTAAGTCAACAAACTTGGATCAATCCTTGACGCGCTGTTGTTGGTCGTGGGTAAGGTCACCACGTAGGTCCTAGTTGGATTGCCATTTGATAGGGTGGACTGTGGCGTGATGTACGAATAGTAATTTTCGAAGTATGCGCGATCTATTTGGTTGATGGGTTGGTCAAAATAACCTTCGTTATCGAGGGAGGTGTTCGTCGATTCCTCATGTGATGCGTCAAGGTTGGGCGCAGTCACGTTTGAGCCGGCCGAAGAGTTCGAGGAAATATTTGACGTATTGTTATTAACGTTCGATGATTCAAACGTCATCTCCCGAGCGGGAGAATTATTTGACACCGAAAAATTGTCTATATCGGGGGTTATCACATTGTTCTCTTCGCCGGACGTAAAGTTGAAGTCACCTGAGATGCCAGGTATGTTGTTGGTATTTGCCTCGCTCTCGTTATTGTGATAATCGATTGAACTCTCTGGCCATGGATGTTGGTTGTAATCCTGGTGATCGGATCCGCTCGTAAACAGTTCATTCGCCTCCCTCGGGTGATCGTTCATGAAAGAATCGTTTGTGGGGTTTTCGGACATTTGCAGGAAACAAGGAAATCTACGTGTTAGCGGCAGGTCGGGGGGGGGGAAGAGGGAGAAAACAGAAAACGAACAACAACAACAAAAAAAAAAAAAGTAAATAAATAAAGGTCGATTATTATAAGGTTTGGTTCACCCCCCAAAAAACTAAAAAGTTACAAGATAAACTGGATGCTTTTATAAAATTAGACAAACAAGCGCATCTTAATATATTAAACTCGCGAGATCCCTTGTTAATGCACAAATAAACTCACAGTATCACTGACAAAGGAGAATAAACTCGCAAAGTCCCTTGAATGGTGGCGTAAATCAGCGAGAACACGTGACGAAAGGAGCGTTTAACTATGGCACAATGGAACGAAAGATCTTTATTTCGTTAGGTGTTTATCCTGACGAAGGGGGGGGGGGGATGGGGGATGGAGGATGGATGAAAAGGAAAGAAAAAAAAATCAAAAAAAGAAAAAAAGAAAAAAAAAAGAGTAATGGTAATAAAAAGGGGGGATCCAACAGAGCTTTCGAGTTCTTGATGGTTTATATTAACAAGCCGGCACCATTGCTTTTTATTATTATACGTGAAAAATAACGGAAATAAATCTTCAAAACAATTATATTTATTAATTATGAATGTTTTGTAATTTCTTTTTAACGTCCCATCATTTCATCAATCGCATAACCATACGTTCTTTTATTTTGGATGACAAATAATTTTAAGGGATGACTTTGAAATTTGAGGTTAAAGAGAATGATGCATAGTGATCAATAATTTAGTGCAGGAAATGCGGTCGTTGTATATGAGAGCGAAGTAATTACAATGATGAGTACCTAGATTGATTAGTAAAATACTATATTTTAATAAATTTTGAATGCCCGATAAATTTATTTTATGATAATATTGATGTAAAGAGTGATGATATCAGGCTGCTGTGATTTAGGTATCAAAATATCAATTATGATTTTTACTTTTTTTTTTTTTTCTCTTTCTTTCTTTCTTTCTCTCCTTTAAAATTGGTCACGGTGACATAATTGTACTTTTGGTTTATAATCCAACAATTATTTATCATTATTATATACACTTAACAATATAATTTATTTACAGTATGTACATTGTGAATAACTTTTCTCGTGTGGGGGATTGCTCATTTAAGATCTACGATCTCTTCTTTCCCTTTGTCGTCGGATCAATAATGTTAAGGTTAGGTTACAAGTATCGACCTTGTGTAATTTTGGTTCTCTGAGGGATCGGACTGTCAATGCACACAATTCATCCCTTGGTAGAGGTGCGAAATGCGTCCAGGGTTTCCTCTTAAAAATATTCATTATTGTAGGTCATACTACCAGTAAGTATGCTGGTGCGGTGAAGTAAAAATAGAGAGTTGCATAATTCGTATAGCGTAAACGTTTCTTTTACCGCATTCCCTGTATTATTAAAAGAAGCCATAGTAAAAACAATACGATGATACCTTTGTGACAACAATTATTATAAACTATAAGAATTATTATAATTATTATAATTATTCACAATTATTATACAATAATTATTTTATACTCTATTCTACACTCTATTCACACCCTTTTTCCTTTTTCACGCAAAAATCGTCATGCCTATTGTTATTATTGACCTTGGTGGTTTCCGCGTTCACGTTCTTACCTCGGTATGCCATTAACGTGTACGAAACAGCTCGGAACTAAGCATAAAGGTTTTTAATATATAAAAATGTGACAACAAATTGGAGATCACTTATGTACTGAATGTACCGTGTTTTACTCAAATCATGATGGTAAATGAATCGATATCAAGATGCCTTAAACGTCCGGGCATTAACTATTGCATTTAGTATTTGAAATTGCCTTAAAGGAGGATGCTGTTTTCAAATAATATTGCTTACGCATATAATAACGACACGCATGATTGATCTTCCATTTCACCATTCCTTTTTTTTTTTAATAAATACACACCAAAATCTATTCTTACTTCACGGGTAAACTAGCATGACACCGAAAGTAAACTAGAAATGAGGAAATCAAGAAGGTAACTGTGAGCATTCATCCAACGGAGGGATGAATCATTCGCACTAGTGTCCATTAATTTGCAAAGAGTCTGATTGTACAGGCAACTTCAAGCAGATGTCATCTGTTCACAAACATAAGACAAAAGGAGGATCGAGTTTCTGGCATGAATTCAACAATATTGGATTGAACTTGTCAAAAATTAATTAATTATTATTCTTTTTATTTTTTAATTACTGATGAAAAAGAATACAATTCATGACTGAAATAGAACTCTTGAATATGTTAAAAGAGATATGAGATGGGTCATAATCCAATGAATAAAAAAGGATGATTGAGTGTTTCTAACGAATGTTTCGCAAATGAAAGTCCAAAAACCAATCGTGTGAAAGAAACGCATGCGTTTGCATATCTTGCAATGCCGCTGAGGCCAGGGAGTTGGTGGGTTTTGTTGTGTGAGATGGGAAATCGAATTGCATACTCGCCACAAATCCTCGTGGTCTCCTCTATACGATCTGATTGAGGTTCAAACAGGACATCGATGCCAATATTCATCGGAAGCGACGTAAATGCGCCCAATGTCTTATCGATTATAAAAAGTTCGACGCATCACCACGAAAATCCAAAATCATCTCGAGAATCATGAAATTACTAACGCGCTTTTTTCGTTCGATCCTCAGAATCCAGAAAAAGATCGGAGAAGAATCCACCGTATCCTCATCACCACATGAGTATCATCAATCAGGAACCTCCCGCGGGAAAAAGATCATTTGGTGTCAAGAATTTCAATCATTCCATACCTGATATTTGTCCTCCTTAAAAATATCATTTACCACTTCAAGAACAAAAAAAAAAAGTCGCGCAACTTTCCTCACATCTAACGAAACGTTCTGTCCAGTGTCTTTTAGATCGAATCAGCCATATGTACTTATTTATACATTTAAATGATAATGAAAAGAATTCGACCCCACCCCCCCCCCCCCCCCTCTCTCTCACACACACACAAAAAACGGAAAAATTTGTACGCGTGAGCACGTGATTACTTAAATGATTCATTGTTCATTACGTAATGACACATAATGCAGTTCTCCACGCCAATATCGTAAGGGGTTTGCTAATTTAAAAAAAAATTACTTCCGAAACCTTATTGGTTCACCCATATACGGGCGGAGTGGTTCGTATAATAATAAACAACGATTACGTATTTGGTAATACAGTAAGTACGACCTAACGATATTTATATACATAGGTTTTCCAATTTTGTCAATTTTCGTATTGAGAAAATGGAATTCTTTAATGGTAGTAGATAATTAGTTAGGCGTGAATTAAAGTTCTTTATATAGAACAGGAAGTTCACCATATATGGAAAGAATTGACCGTCGCCACAAAAAATTAAAATTATTATAGTGTGCATATTTTATCGATCGAGCGGAACATAACGCACGTCTGTACGGTACCCGTAAGCAAGAGATCAAATATTACCAAGATTGAGAAACGATCACTATCGAATTCCATTCACACACACACACACACACACACACACACACACACACACACACACACAACCCTAATATTCTTTTATTAATTGATCCCGAATTTGGATTTCGTGTGCCTTTAAAAAAAGATTTGATCGCCAGAAAAATAAGAAAATAATTGTGCTTCTAATTATAAGAGGAACATCTTTCTTTAAGCAGTTCCCTAAAACGGATGTCGCCGTGAAAACGTATATACACCCTTTATCTACGAAACTCCCTATTCATGGGAACCTTTTGTTTTAAAAAATTATTCACTGATTATTTTAGTATGCACGAACGTAAATGCCCTTTAACTCTTAAATTTAACTTAACGTGAGAGATTCCCGCTTACCTTTGAAATAAAACTTTTAATGCAATCCACCGGTATCTCGCATGAAGAAATAATAAAGTGCACGCCGACGTTAAAACCGTCCAGCACCCGATCATTCTCCGCCCCAGAGGTCAACGATTATTCATATCATCGATGACGGCGAATGGCAGGGGTTAAAGGTATATCCTCAACTCCTTCTCCTCTTCTAGAACACACGACCAAAAAGAGGCATTCAAATTTTGATATGAAAATTCATATTTGTAAACCCTAATGCCCGTTCAACTTTGCAAACCTTAATGCGAGATCCTTTTGGTAATAGTAATACGAAGTTTAAATGACTTAAATCGAATGTTACACTGGATGGCATTGTCCCATTTGCGCCACACACTAATTGGCCCCACTGTTCGGACATCATTCATCATTTATGGAAGGTGTCCTATTTTTATCGTCTCTTTATATGGTTCTCGATAAGACGCGAGCAATTTCTTTTTTTTTTGCTGTCAGATTAAAGACTTCACTAATCTTCTTGGCGACCACAGATTCGCGATGATTATAAATACTTCAGAACGTGGGTGCCCATCTTTGATTCGTTGCAAATCAAATAATTCAAAAAAGTACCGGCGAGACCTAGACTGACATCAAGAAACTGTTCGCACTCGTATTCGACTTGCAGGTCTTTCGGTAAAGAAGACAAAAGTAAATCGTAATAATTGAAAAGAATGGCAACCACCGACGCGACTACCAGCACCCCCTCACGTCCATGCATCTTTATAAATCATCTCGGCGAATCTTCAAGCAAATTACCCTCCGACAATAACCCACCGCTCATCATTCCACCTTTCCCACCTACCATCGACCCACGCGATTTGATCACTTTACTTCCCGATGGCCGCGTACCGACCAGAGCACCCAACGCATTTATAATCTATCGAAAGGCGTTTATTGACGCCGTCAGGGATAGCGGAAACTACCTCCCGATGACCGTGGTCTCCCTGATGGCATCGAAATCCTGGGAGCAAGCTTCCGACGTGGTAAAAGAAGAATATAAGAGGCTTGCAAAAAAAGCGTTTGATTACAGAAACGAGATTTGCCCCAAATCCCAGAGACGCAGAAAAAGAGAAAAGTGGAATGTCGTTTCCTTCAATCAATTTTCTTCTGGTCGTAACAATCGTTCAGGAAAATCGACCAAATCTCGATCACTGCCGACCTCGCGAATTTCCCCAACCAACATCGAACCTCGACCATCGACGATCCCGGAAATTTCCGATAACGTGAACTCTCAACAAACGTCGTTCGACTTTTACAACTTCACTGCTGGTAGTACAGAAAATTTGCACAACAATCTTCCAAGTCTGGCTCCATCGATACCCTCTAGTGGCTCTAACTCCATCGTCAGTTCGCCCGATTTAAACGAAATCGACACGAATGTTTTCTTGCAAACCGATGACCCTCATACCATTACACTTGAGGAGGAACAACCGCTCGTGGTTTGGCCCGAATTTAAATACTCAAGTAACGCTGCTTACAATAGATCGGAATCTGTTCTCATGAATTATAACCAACCTTACCAACCTTACGACGATCACATGAATGGTGATTTGTTCTATTCAATCCTTTCGAACGAATCACGTGACGAAAGCATCCCGTTTTCCTTTGATCTGTTGGATAACGCAGCGGCGTTTTCGAATAACTTTACCAATTTTGAGCCCTTTGACGTCATAAACACTTGGAACGATAATTTGTGCACAACCTCTTACATCGAGGCTTTATCCTCCCCCATTTATTATTTTTAGACACGACGAAATATGAACGCAGCTTCTTTCTAAGATTAACCTAAACAACTTTATGTATCCGAATTTTACCTAAGCGCAAGTGCATGCACATTAAGATTATATGAAATTTAAGATTCAGTCTACTTAATTGTAACACAACGTAGTTTATCTTTTATCAATTCGATATGCTAAGAAATAAAATAAACTTTTATATATGCGAATGTGTGGGAGTTTCGTTTTTATGCCGAGCCAAAGTATAAAGTTTAATATGCTGACATTTGTGGCGCTTAGCAAATTCAGCGCCGAACAATCTATACACGAGGTTGATATATTACCGCGTTGATTTATCGAACTATAATATCGCAGTTTTTTTTGTTTTCCCTGTAGTGATCGAGTTAAAAAAAAAAAGAATAGAATAGTAATAAATGAATGCAAAATGCTTTTGTCGGATACTGAGTTTTGTCCCGTTCTATCTTTTATCTGCTTGATTTTGAATGAAATATTGCAATCTATCAATTAATTTTTAGTTGAGTTTTATCTTTCTTTTTTTCAACTTACAGTATTCACAGACTCAATTATTAATATCTTCAATATGATATCATGTGATACGCTAGTAGCCAAATTTACCATTTGACAGTAACAATGGTTATTGTAGCAAAATATGGTGATAATATACAGTAACTCATTAAAGTTTAAAATCACTTATTATATTCTTGTTATATAAACGTCAATTTTAATACTTTTTAAACTCATAATTATACCTTTAAACATTAAAAAATTTTTTTAATATATACTGTATATATATTCTGTATATATTTTATTAAATATTTGTATACTTTATATTTAGAATGTTTTGCTAAAACTAAATCTCTATCCAACTTACTTGTATTTATTTTATGAATTTACTAAAACTTTAAGTGTAACTTTGGATGTGATTTATCACTTCATTAGTAGTTCAAGTAAAAACCCTTCTAATTGCTAATTTTATAACCTGCAGGTAAAGATAAATCCCTAAAGGAGAGGTAGTGACAAAAGTCAAATGTTCCTCACTAGGAAACATTAAATTTTTAAAAAACTACTCACAATTGTTCTCCATTATCCAAATCATTGATTTATAATATTTCCTGACTTTTGTCCCTATTAAAGTAAAGAGCTATGAATTTTGTCTCTCAAAAAGAGACATAAGTGATCTATGAAATTTTATATACTAAATACTTTAAGGACCTATCATTACTTACAGGTAAAGATGGGTCCCTAAAGAGGAAGACAATGATAAAAGTCAAATGTTCCTCACTAAGAAACATAAAAAATTTTAAATTAATAACTATAAAAAATTACTCACAATTGTTTTTACCCAAGACTGAACTTGGAGACTTTTATGCTTATGATGAGTTAGTTAAATTAGAATAATATTTTAGCTATAATATACAGTATATTATGTTGCTCAAATAAGAATGCACTTATATTTTCAATTGATTAATAAATCAATAATCTAACCTGACTATAGATACTCAAAAAAAAAAAAAAAACAGATACTGTAATTATATTATTATAATATATTTTTATTAAAATATTAAAAATATATTTATAATATTATATTAACTATTTATATAATATTTTTAAACTCTTTTTGATTATTTTTTAATCATATACAAAAGTGATATTTGTAAAAAGTTTTATATTTTTTTGCTAAAGTTTTAATATTCTTATTAAATTAATCTAAAGTTTATTTTCAAATGACATATTTATTTTCTTTTTTTTATTTATATTTCCTTTTAAACAAAAACTTGACTTTTTGTAACTTGAAAATTCAAGCAACACCTTTTTTACTAAGGATAAAAATTTCAAAAAAAAAACAACTAATATATATTATTTTATACTAAAGAAAAATATTATAAAACTTTTATAATAATAAATAATAACTTACTTACTTTTTTAATACCGATTTATTCTAATAGCACTTGTTTTTGAATTTTTTTAAAGAATTTTGCTTAGTTTAATTAGATTCTAAATTTTGAATAATATAAAGTTTTTTATATTATAATTTAATATAATTTTGAAATGAAAGCTCAATTATATTTATTGACTTTAATAAAGTAATATACAAATTAATACAAAGATTACAAAGATTGTCACATAAAATCAATATCATTTATATTATTAAACTCCCTAAAACCTTACTTTTAATAGATTTACTAGGTGACTTGTTGCCCCAAAAATATCCAGTTGAATTAAATTTTTCTACTACTATTATCTAGAAAAAAACTAAATACTCCTTATTAAATCTTCAATCTATCTGAATCTTTTACAACTAACACGCTATAATAGATTTGCTAGTTTCAGGAAAGGAGAAGTATATCTTTCTTTTGATCTTGGTGATTATGGTCTATCACTAATACTAAGTGTGTTCAGAGAAAGAGTGTGAGTTTGATAGTATTTTATATTATGCAAAGGTGAAAAAATCATTTGCATTAAAATAAAAAAACCTTGAAGTAATTTTGAAATAGAAAAATTGTTGTGTTTTCGTGAGTAGAGTAAGTTCTTAAAGTTCTATTTCAATAGGAAAGATATTTATTTCATAGTTATAATACTTTTAGAGAGTAATGAGAGATAAAGACTATAATCTATATAATGTTTATTTATTTATATATTTAATATATAACTTATAATAGATATAAGGTTCTTATAGAGTTTAGTAAATACATTTACATTATATAGTATGTCATATGTATTCTTATTTACATTTCTGCTAACTATAAAGTAATTAATTCCAATTTTCAACCAATCAATCCATCCAAAATCTGATGCAACAGAAAATTCATAGTCAAGCTAGGGTAGGCAAAATCCCCTAGAAATACAAAAAAAAAACTACTATATGCTAAGAGAGAAGCTATTTCTACCTATAGTAATAATATCAGTTTTCCAGGTTGACATGGAGTTGTTGGCTCACACTTCTTCCTGAACTTTGGAACCTCCATAGAGAAAAGAAGAAAGGCATTGTTTCATCTGGTTTCTTCTTTCTAAAAAAGTTTTCTTGCCATTAACTTCTTCTCCTTACTTTCTGAATCTTCTTATATTTTGTTCTTCTATTGATTATTTGCTCTTATTCTCATTCTATAATAATTTCATATCTTATATTTTAGACTCATTTATGAATCTAATTGCAATTCTTTTTTATACTCTTAAGATTTATTTTTTGTTATTGTTCTAGTTTCTTACTATGCAATTTAGATTAGTGGTTTTTTTAATTATAATATTTTTTACTAATTCTACACAAAAATCAAGTGTGCTTGAACTAATTTGCAAAGCTGTTTATATGAATCTAAATGCCCATCTATTTATCTTATCTTTTGCTCTTCTATTGTTGATTGGTAGTTGTATCTTTTTTTTATCTGCTTTCTTTTTCCTATTTCAGTACAACTTATTAAATTCTTTGAGAACTATTTAGATCCTTTTTACTATGCTGCTAGGATTTCATTTTTATAATCAAAATATTCTAGTAAATATTCAATTATATCTTTTTACTAATTGCATACTATACATTTTACTTGCTTGTATAAGTTAATGTTTTTTATACTAGCTTATTTAAAGTAAGTAGTTCCTTATTAATTAATTTAACTAGAAAATTTTTTCTTTGCAAACCTTTAAAGGAAGTATCCCATATGCTACTATCTTTTAACCTATTTTATGCTAGGTTCCATAAATAGGTTTAGTGTTTTTGAACTTGGTGATAACATTTTGTTTCCATTCTATATTCCTATATTTATAATAGGACAATTGATTTCTTTTTGATTTATTTAATGAACTATTGGATTGAATTATCTATCACATCCTTTTGGCACAATGTTTTAATAGATATTTTGCTTAATTTGAGGTTATTCTATTTTATTGCTAGGGACTTTAATACCTTTTTGATCAATCAGTCTATATATTTATTCTATGAATCATTAAAGTAAACTTTAACTTTGATTAAAGTCTATTGAATATGTTTTTTCTTTACAAGATCTAACATTCTTATTCATAATAACTAATTATTATTTTTAATCATCTTTTGTATATCATCTTAAGATCTTCTTTCTTAAACTTTATCTATTTGAAGATACAGACTTGACTATTGATAAAAATTTCTATTATACTATTTATTGAAGCTACTAAAACTATCATAACTAGTGCTACTAATTCTACTCTTTTGAACAAGATCTAATTTTTTACTTTCATTTAAAATTTACTTTTTTTTTTGCTCATTCAGTTTATATCTATGCTTTTTCTATTCTTTATTTTTATTTTCACAATCAATCAAGGATTATCAAAGTAGAAGGTTAGCTTCTTCTATAATCTTTAATTATATTAAAAAATTTCAAGTAAATGATTTTAATATATTTCTTGCTTAATATTGTCTCTGAGTATTTCTTGTTTCCAGTCTTCTATTAGTACTTGTTCCATTCTTTTAGTTAGATTATTTCTTGAATTTTGGTTTTCTAAGACTATACTTATTATTATCCTATCAAGCTTAGATAAAAGATAGAGAATTTTTGTCAATTGTATTCTCCTAATGGTTTTTGGTAATTTAGAAATATTATAGTATAGATTAAATTAGATTCTACTTCTATACTATATTCATTTACATTTCTATTGTTTAGAAAGCATTCTAGATATTTAATAAAGACTGTTTCTAGATTATCTTCTGTTTCTTATTGATTGAAGTAATATATTGTGACTATACCTTGACTATTTTCTTGAATTAGTTTTCTCTATACTATTTGTCAACTCTTTTTTTAAATACTATGCAAGTTTTTTTCCTTTTATCTCTACTGGGTTTAGACTAATATATTTTGTTATTTATTTTTCTTTTCATTATTTTTTCCAGAGTTTTGTAAAGTATTCTGCATATTCTTTAGTTCGGGTTTTTTGCAGGATATTATATCATCTTGAAATTGGATCATTACTTGTATTTTAAATAAGCTGAACTATTTTCACTTTCTAAACTCTATAGAGTTTTGACTTATTATCTGATCTATATA